TCTGAGAATTAGAAGCAGTAACTGAGTGGAAGAGGAGTGATTACTGCACCTGGATCCACATTATGCTTTTACACTTCTGGCAAAATGTTGTTAAAGCACCATCTCAGATACTTGGTAAGTGGATCTTGGGAATTTAGACATATCTTTTCAGTATTGTGTTTCTTGTTTTGATGCCGTTGTTTAAAATCTGAAACCAAGAACCTGGGTTCTTTCAAAATAAAAGCTAAAAAAAAAAAATCCCTCTAATATGTGAGGAATTATATCTATTGACTGACAATGTTGGCTTGCTGGGGTTAACCGAACTGCAAGACATGAAGCTGTGACTCACAGCTCAGCTCGACCTTTTTCTGTTTAAAGATCAGCGTGGGCTAAAGGCTGTAAAATAACATCTTTTTAAATAAAGGTGATCATTTCCAGCAGCTCGAAAATTAAGAGATTCGCTTTACCATTTCTTTTAGTTTATGTTCTTTATTGTATATTTTTCTTTTACTTTTTCCTCCCATACCTCCCACATCTGCTATTCATTTCCAAAGCTCTGCCTGAAAGCAGCAGATTCATCAGCCAGCTGCTACTTTACTGCATTCCAGCTCGACCCCTGAGACACACAGAGTCTGTTTGCATTTCCAAACCAAACATCTCTGCTGCCTGACAGATACATTCTTAATTCTCCATTTCAAGTCAAGAGTTTCTGAATCAACTTTATTATTACTAACTGTTCTACCTGGTGACAAAAACGCCATTAGCAGCCTGCGGGAAGCAGGAGTTTCAATCAGGAATTAAACATGTAGCACTACCTCTACTGTTCCTATGATTTGAAACATGTTTAGTTTGTTGTAGAAACGTTATGAGAAAATCTGATTTTGCAAAAAGTGTACGTCTAGTTTCAGAGGTAGAGTGTGATTAAAAACCGCCTTATATACCGTACCATTTAGCAGTACAAAGAAAGTAGTTGCAGAATTTCTTCTTTATAAAATCTTTCTATATAAAATCAAATATCTACCCTATAGTAGAACATTAAGCACATTCACAGCAGCCTTTCTTACTAACTGTTAAATTTTAATCCATGTGCTTCAAAGCAGAATTTCCTTTTAGAATTCAACTGAGGTAGAAATACACTTTATGTATAAAACATAAGGAGCATTTTGTTAAAAGGGAGAACCTGCATCGCCAGTTGATTGGGAGGCAGCCAGTTTACCCAGAGAGGATCCAGAGAAAACTGTGTGCTTGGAGAGACTAGAGGCAATCTGCAGAAATCAACCACCCCAGTTCCCTTTTCCTGATGAAGTTAAATTCTTAAATTACAGGATGCAGATATTTACAGCTGTAAGTAAACACATGGCACATATAAGCACAGGTAAAAGGCCAGTCACCAAGGAATTGCACTGATTTCTTAAGCGAGTCTCAGACAGCCATTTCTGTAAAGAAAGTGCTGTTCCACCTCTAAGATAGATTTACTTTATTACTGTGCATCTACAGTAATCTGCAAAGCATCCAGCCCATCTCAGCATTAATTGTGTTTTCTTGCCTCACCACCTGGAATTAAAACGATAGTTTGCACCATTTCATTAAGAGCTTGCCTACAACATTAAAGATGTTTCATCTTGTTTATGCTGAAAAAAACAAATAAGAACAAATAATAGAAAACCTTACAGTGCAGAACTATAAAGTCTGTATCTCATAGAGCAACCTTTTGCAGCAATAATATTGACAAATTATCTGTGGGTCACATCTTTCAACAAGGAATTCTTCCCCCTCTTTCTCAGTTTCTTTTTTTTCTGCTTCTTAACTGCAGGTCATCATGTCTAACTGCAGAAGTGGAGTAGGGCTAAACTTGAACTTGTTCATTCCAGCAAACTTAAATGTTTCTCCTTTAACCATTTTAATATTTGTTTAGCAGTGTGCATTGGGTTATTGTCCTGGAGGAAGATGCTTTATCTCCATTTCAAAGATGATTTCACTAAGAGGAATTATCAGAAAATTAAAAACCTTATAAACATAAGTAAGCATCCTCTTCAGTCTTCAATTAGTGTCTTCAGTCAGAGGCTTCCCCAGAGCCGCTGCTTAACAGACCACTACAAAAGATCCCTCCTGCCTAAAGCTATCAACACTTACAACAGCTTGTAAAAAAAAAAAACACCCATTAGTTACAAGAGTATTTCACTTCCACTTAAGATTGATCGTTTTTAAATACATTTTAAATCGGAATACATTTAATTTAGCCTCAAATTACAGAGAGACCAGGAGGTTTTGTTTGAGTCTACCCCATATCTTATATCGTCCTTTTTTGCATTGCCTCGAATCAGTTTCTTATTCCCTTCTTCTTTAAAACACCCCCCCTAACAAAAGTTAGTGACTAGAGAACTCAAATGGGAAACGAGCGTGAGTCACTAACCTGGTAAAGTTCAGTCTGAACCTAGAAGCAGGAGTGAAGTTCGGAGGGATTGTTTCTCAATAGCTTGCAGAAGCAGAGCAGCGACGAACAGAAGCCAGAGCACACAGAGGAGCCGAAGAATCCAGAGGGATAATCCGAAGGCACAGTCGAAGCAGGAGCAGGTTTCCAGGCCAGAAGATCAGAAGTCTGACGAGGCGCCGAAGGGATATCCAAGCCGGGGTCAGAAGACAGGCCCAAGGTCGTTAGCAGGCAGAATGCAGGTAGCAGTCTGAAAACAGATCAGGCAAAAGAGCAGAACAAGGGCAATCAAAACTCAGAGGTCCAGGGACAAAAACTAGTCAGGCTCAGGTAATCAGAAACTCACAGATTGCTTAGAAACTCTGACACTCAGCTTGAATAATCTGGCACCGATGGCTGAAAACAGGCAGTTAAATAGAAAGCAGGAACAGGTGAATCTGATGAGTAACAATGAGTCCTGAGCAGAGCTAAGCAGATAGGATAAAAGAGCCAAATCCAGCCATCAGTGCCAAGATCATGACAACCTTTGCTCTTTGTGCTTCATCTCTGGTTAATGTCCTCCTTGCCCAGTCTTTGAGTTAAAGCAAGTTTGATAAAAGAACTGTGTGCAATCCATTTACAGATGATAATTCCACTGGAAAGATCCACGTTTTGATATTTTTTCTCACCTTGATTTTTCTTTCTCAACAACATTGTTCCTGACTGAATTGGAGAGCTGCTTGATCTTCACGATGTACAGTAAGCTCTCCAGCTAAAAGGGCGTTGTAACTTCTGGGGCCTTTTGGAAAAGATTTATTTACACCCTGACTGCACACACAGGTGGACTTTATTTAGCTATTTAAGGGACTTTTAAAGCTTATTGGTTGTACAATAACTTTTTAGAGGCTCATTAGCTTAAGGGGTTACATACAATATTAACCAAGTTAATATTCTTTTTAAAAAAAAATGTTTTTCCTTTCACCAACTTGGACTATTTTGTACAGATAAGTCATACACTATAATATAAATAGAAAAAACATTTAAGGTACAGTTTGGAAAGTAAGGATTTCATTAAAAAAATAAGTTATAGGAAAATCAAAGTTATTTTGTTACTAAATAATCTAACTTCAACAGCGAATGACTGTAGATGGTTTGAAGGGATAATGTCCCTCAAAGCTCCCGGCTACCAGATCAGGAGAGGGAAAAATTTATAAATCTTTACCACTGCAGTTTAAAATGACTTATTAAACTGCTCACGATGACCTTCAAATGCAACACTTATTTGATTAGGGAATTAACTTCAGCCTGTGAGAGCGGCCACTGGATGCAATAGGCTTGTTTTTTTTTTTAGCCAATGCTGGCTGTTATTTCAATGGTTTTCAGGGTGGATCATCAAAATAAGTGGTCCTCCTAATTGTCAATTATTCTGGTGCTATATTACGTAAATTCGTCCTACGTGCTCGTCCCAATTTTCACTTACCGGTGGTGAGTCTGACAAAAATGCAAATCTTCTTTTGAAAAGTAAGCTTGTATGAGCGATGCAAACAGCAACTTTTAAACAGAGTGTGCACAAGGAGAAATGGGCTTGTGCATGCTCTCGCATACGTTTAATAGGCGTTCCCTCTCAGGAGCGGGTACAGGGTTGTGCCTGTGCATTTTTTCTCTGGAGAGGGTGGGTCTTTAAAAATTTGTGAAAATCCTCCACAATACCTTCAATACTTGTTCAGTCATTAAGTCTCCTTTCTCAGCCTATAATATTTTAAGTTTTGTGTAATGCTATAAAACTATCGAAAAGTATGCAGTAGAGATATGCATCTCTCCGTAACTGCATAAAAGTCCTTCATTATTCTGTAAATTAACTTGCTGTTTGTTGAGCACAGCAATTTTGACGTACTGTCACCTGAAAACACTGGACAGTTCTCCTGTTTGGTCCAAACAGTGCAAACTCTCTTATGTAGGCTCATCCACAGCCTCATCAATGCGTCCTTGCCAGCTTATAGGTAAACCCCCCCCCACACACACACACACACACACACACACACACACACACACACACCCTCAGTTAAGTTTGGATGCACTTGGCTGTGTATCTGAATTCCTGGGGGATTCAGGTGATGCTGACACCATTTATCTTCTCTGAGGCTCTGTGGCAAAGGCATGACAGCAAGATTTGTAAAGAACACCATTCTTGCACATTTACTAAAGTCTTACAAAAAACATCTAGCTAATGGAGTGGATTTTACAACACAGAGAGAGGCATGAGACGTTCAGATGGTGGGCAGTTTCAGCAAACATTCAATTTGCCTTTTTGCAATCAGAGTTTGTAAAAGAGTTGCCTATATATTTCTCAGGAAACTACCTGTAGCTGTTCTTACACATGCAGTAGATCACTTCAAAGGGTGCAAAAAATCTCCCGTGGATAAAATAGCATTTCACGGCTCATAATTTGAAGATTGCAGCTTTTGCACCCTGTGTTTTTCCTGGAAAAGTAATTTGGATGCAAAAATCCTATAAGAAGAGGGGAAAAGGCTCAGTTGTGGGGATGTTTGTGTAGGCAGAGCGGTAAAAGACATTCCACCGCCACAGGCCTGTTTCCACTTTGAAAGTCTGTGCAGACTCCCACCCCTCCCTCTGGTTGTGCAGCAGTTTGCGAACAGTTGTTGCCTTTAAGGAGCCTTAGGAAGACTCACTTGGTACAAGATGGCGTCCCAGCAGCTCTGTTTGAGGTTTCTTGGGTTGGCTGCATTGCTGACACTGACAACTCTCAGAGGTAAGCATATTCTGTCTTTTTTCTTTGCCGTTTCCTTTAGTAAGGATTTTCTCGGTTCATTCCCTTACCTTAGATGACTCCTTTTTTGGTCCTTTTTTCCTTTGTGTGTCTTTGTTTCAGCATGAGAAATGTGTTTGCTCTTGGAAAACATATTTAGGCAAAAATGATTGAAATGCTAAAATGATGACTTTCTTCTTTCTATTGCAGCTACATAAATTTGAACTCTAATTCATATCTATTTTGTGTTAGATTTAATTTAAATTCAGAAAAAGAATAAGGTTTAAAATTAATATAATCAAACAGAGCATTTTATCAATTCAGGTTTGGAGAAACTTTATAACTAAGGAGACTGTGATATTAACTAGAGGGGGAAAAAATAACACTCCCAGTCATTCAGCTGTAACTGTCGGTCACAGTATAATTTAATTTCAATTATAAGCCTTAACTTCCCTTCTACATATCAATTGATAAAATAAGTAAAGTTATTCAAAAAAAAAAAGTTTTAGGAAAGGTAGTTGCCTGTTCCTCACATCATAGCCCAGAACAGACCAGACACAATTTATTGTCAGACCTGACAGGAAGTCGGTTCATATGAAGACATACACTATATTGCCAAAAGTATTTGCTCACCCATCCAAATTATTGGAATCAGGTGTTCCAATCACTTCCATGGCCACAGGTGTATAAATTCAAGCACCTAGGCATGCAGACTGTTTTTACAAACATTTGTGAAAGAATGGGTCGCTCTCAGGAGCTCAGTGAATTCCAGCGTGGAACTGTGATAGGATGCCACCTGTGCAACAAATCCAGTCGTGAAATTTCCTCGCTCCTAAATATTCCACAGTCAACTGTCAGCTGTATTATAAGAAAATGGAAGTGTTTGGGAACGACAGCAACTCAGCCACGAAGTGGTAGGCCACGTAAACTGACGGAGCGGGGTCAGCGGATGCTGACGCGCATAGTGCGAAGAGGTCGCCAACTTTCTGCAGAGTCAATCACTACAGACCTCCAAACTTAATGTGGCCTTCAGATTAGCTCAAGAACAGTGCGCAGAGAGCTTCATGGAATGGGTTTCCATGGTCGAGCAGCTGCATCCAAGCCATACATCACCAAGTGTAATGCAAAGCGTCGGATGCGGTGGTGTAAAGCACGCCGCCACTGGACTCTAGAGCAGTGGAGACGCGTTCTCTGGAGTGACGAATCGCGCTTCTCCATCTGGCAATCTGATGGACGGGTCTGGGTTTGGCGGTTGCCAGGAGAACGGTACTTGTCTGACTGCATTGTGCCAAGTGTAAAGTTTGGTGGAGGGGGGATTATGGTGTGGGGTTGTTTTTCAGGAGCTGGGCTTGGCCCCTTAGTTCCAGTGAAAGGAACTCTGAATGCTTCAGCATACCAAGACATTTTGGACAATTCCATGCTCCCAACTTTGTGGGAACAGTTTGGAGCTGGCCCCTTCCTCTTCCAACATGACTGTGCACCAGTGCACAAAGCAAGGTCCATAAAGACATGGATGACAGAGTCTGGTGTGGATGAACTTGACTGGCCTGCACAGAGTCCTGACCTCAACCCGATAGAACACCTTTGGGATGAATTAGAGCGGAGACTGAGAGCCAGGCCTTCTCGTCCAACATCAGTGTGCAACCTCACAAATGCGCTTCTGGAAGAATGGTCAAAAATTCCCATAAACACACTCCTAAACCTTGTGGACAGCCTTCCCAGAAGAGTTGAAGCTGTTCTAGCTGCAAAGGGTGGACCGATGTCATATTGAACCCTATGGATTAGGAACGGGATGTCACTTAAGCTCATATGTGAGTCAAGGCAGGTGAGCAAATACTTTTGGCAATATAGTGTAGCAAATGCATCTAATTGAAATGCATGGGGCTGAGCAGACCACACAGAGTAAAACATCCACTTTAGGGAACATACTAAGCAATATCTCTGAATCCCGAGGTAAACCAGCCAGGTTTGACCCCAAATAGGTACATATATCCCAAGCAGGGTACATTTGGATTTGGATGATGAAACAGTGATCTTTGAGTTTTGCAGCAACCATGAAATAACTTTCTGCTTGTGTAAAAGCAGAGACGCATCAAAATCTGGAGGGAGGGTAGTAGGTGCCAGACAGAGGTGGTGTGGTCCTGCCTTTCCGATCCAACAGATTGTTTTAGGGTGTTTTCAAATTTTTTTCCTTGTGATGTTTAAATATTAACAGCATAACTTGTTTTTTGCTAGAGAAGTTGAGTTTGCATTTTCTGCTGTGTTGGCAACAATAAACAGATTAAATTTTTTCCCCACATTTTATGATGTTTTATCTCTTGAATTTGCTTAATCATTTTAAGTTTCTAACTTTTGTTTGTACCACTTTGAAGCAGTCTCCCCATGTGATGTCCACTATAAATATTCAGTATAATTGCTATTGGCTTTTTAATAAATATTATCATTATTACCTTCATCTACATGGAGTATAACCTGATATTTCTTTTACGGTCACTTTTAAAGCTACCAGTGGTGCACGGGATCTGCTAATTTCATTAGTGCAACATAAAGCAGTTTTCATATTTGAACTTTCTCATGAGAAACCATTGTAGATCACTTGCAAAACGGCAACTTTTCCCTTGAGTAAATTTGAAGCTCCTCATTTAATCTTTAAAGATCAGGCCCATGGTGCCAATCGGACAATTGTTCTCAGACATGCAAGAAAAAAAACTTCTTCCCAGACATTGTGTCCAGAGCATGCTGTGAGAACCCCTCTAATACACGACTTCAAGAGCACATGAAGTAATTTTGTTCCTGCAGAGTGGAGATTTTCTCCAGATGTCTATTCTCATCTCCACAGCCTTGAGCAGATTAACTCCAGCAAACCAGTGGCTCCACCTCCTGTCTGCGTGCAGACTGCTCACTGTCCCGCATCAGACCTATGATAGTGGTCTCATCTGCCAACTTCAGCAGTTTCACAGGATGGTGTTGTATGTACTCAATAATAAAAAAAACTGTGAAAGGTGGCGGTGGCCCATAGGTGCAGCACAGAACCTATGTCCGGAACTGTGGCTCTTTGCTGCTCGTCTTCACCTTGAGATAGAAAAAAAGATATAACATTCCCTCCACAAAAATCAGAAAATCATGTTTAATATGAAATAAGTAAACAAGCAGAAGAACTCCATTCAAAGTAAAATAGTGGTGAGGTAAAAGAAATTAAGAACGTACATTCATATAGGCTAAAAAAGCCACGCCACCTTCAGTAATTCAATTTTCTGCATATTTGCAATGTAGGAAACATAATAGCTACATTCCTGGAGCAAAAATGCTAAGGGAACAGATGATCTCTGCAGCACATCACAGTTATGAAACCCTTTAGATAACAAGCTGTACTATTCATACATATCTGAATCTGGACTTTGAGATTCTCTAGATTCTTTCACATCTATAATAACATCCATTTCAACTTCAAATACTTTTATATATCTTTTTTTCTTGTTGGGATCCTTATATAAAGCTGTTCTATCTCCAGACAGCATTGGGTTTAGAAACACCTTGAAGCTTTAACATCCTAGTAATAATAAAAGCCACTATCAATACGGGCAAATAAAATGCCCACCGTGTTTGTGCTTAGAAATAGATAAAAAAATATATATCAGGAATACAGAAATTAGGAGAACACCTATAATTCTATAGTTTAGTGTATATTATTGATGTAACCTAGTTAAATGAGTTGCAATTGAGTAGGTGGGAATTTCAAAGACTGTTGAATATATTTAATACAAAGTTTGATAGAACTAGATCAGACGGCACCATGTCAAGGAACCAATCAGGCTCCATCCTGAAACTCATTTTCCTGCATGATACTTTTCTCATTTCATGTATCTAAAGTTTTCTTAGTACTTTCATGAAACCTAACAAGTATTTTTCCATATTGGCATGATAGTAAATCTGTTTTAAGTCACTTCATAAAACTACCTTGTTCCAGAAATGTTGCAGCTAAATTACATAGAAATGGCTTTTAAGTTCCTGAATGCGAATAACAAAATAATTCCTGTTATATCAAAATTACTAAAAGAGTTCAAATAGCTAACGAAATCAAACTTGGTGTTAAAACGGACCCAAATTGATTTTTTTTTTTTTCAACCTTGGCTCGCAAAGCTGATTCTTACTCTTCCAAGACTTTCCTGTACAATAAAATAAATCGGTAAATATTTGAAAGAGAAAAAATTATTAAATTCAGCTGCTGTTGCAGTAGTTCATCTTTCACCTAAAATACTCTTTGCTTTTCATAGAGACATATTGCCCCTGTAGCTGTGCTAAAAGAAGCTCAAAGGTTCAACTTGGCATATTTTACCTCTTCTATCATTAAGCTACTTCATGTATAGTTTCAACAGATGATTTCAGGACAAAAAGCCATCATTACATCCAGGGGAAAACAATTCGGGTTAAGCATTTTTGTTAAAACTGATTGATTGATTGATTTTGTATGTAACTTTTGAAGAAATAAAGAGAGCCTTCATCGTTGAATTCATCTGTATAAAAACCTGGTGATGTATAACTCCAACCATGCAGTGAAAATGTCCTTCTAGCAGACGGACTGAGATTAAGAATGGAGTTCTGAGCAGTGCAGTTCACTCTGAGATTCGCATTTCCCTTAGTCTGACTTGATTTTAAAATGGAAAAAAAACCCTGATGATAAATGCAGAAACTCTTCAAAATCGCAGGTCTAAGTCATTTCCACTTACAATAAAAAAAAAAAAAAAGAAAAAAAAAAAGTTCAACTGAATTCCATTTGTTGGTGCAGTTAAGTGGAAGATAAGTTGGTGGTGCACTTTTGTTCAAGAAAAACAGAGCAGAAATCCTTTCTCTGGGGTCTAAAACAGCAGCAGGAAGCCTACGCTTCAATAATATTTATATGCAAGAGAGCCAGAAATTTGCTTCCCTAGACTTCAGTTAATAATTATTTTCTGTGTTTACACTTCTGTTTTCAGCGTCCTCAGACCTGTTTTTCCACTTATGGA